TTAGGGGGTCGTTAATTTTAAAAAATTAATAAAAGGACAGTGTATGTGGATGGAAATGTTTCAAAACTTTCAGTATTGGGATAGGAAAAATGATCTGATTGGGACTAGTGCAGTTTAATTTATCTGTAATTAGTCTGGAGTCAAGGATAGGCTTGCCAAGTCCCCCCAGGGGGCGGGGAAATCCCCGCCCGAGAGGCCCGTTACCCACCGCTGGTGGATCAGGCCCCAGGGGGAACCCCACCCCCAAAGCATGCAACATGCCCGCTGTCAGCACGTCACCCGGAAGTGACGCAATCACGTTGGGCACGTTGGGGGTGGGGCCACAATAATCCGAGGGAATTGTGGCCCCGTCCCCAACGGGCCTGATGTGATTGCATCACTTCTGGGTGATGTAATTGTGGCACGCGCACGCTTTGCGCACGCACATGGACTCCCAGACCAGCGCTGGACTCTCCCGCTCTTCATAAGGTAAGGACTTGGCAACCCTAGTCAAGGAGGATGAACAGAGTGGTAGCTAAATGTTCAGATGACACCAGGATATTCAGGATGGTGAAAACCCAAGCAGAGAAAAGAGAGCAAATGGATCTCAAACTGGATGAAAGGAAATCAAATGGCAAACTAGTTCCAGTATAAGTGAGTGCTTTTATTTTATTTATTTATTTAATTTCTGCCCCACCCTCCCTGCTGTAGCAGGTTCAGGGTGGCTTACATAGGATATTACACAGTTAAAACAGATTTGGATAAAATCATAACAATATAAGTATAAAACATTATGAAGTGATAGTGCTAAGATGATTCATATGCAATGGCGGACATGAACAACATCCAACAAACAGGCAGTCATCTCCCATTGTAGTCTGGGTTATATCGGCTGTTAATAATGTTGATGTAGATGTTAATGTAGATGTTAATATTGGGTCCAGAGCCTCATTTGTATGGTGCGGCTCCCTAGTCGAAGGCCTGGTAGAAGAGCTCTGTCTTGCAGGCCCTGCGGAACTGTAAAAGGTCCTGCAGGGCCCTGATGTCTTCCAGGAGCTCATTCCACCATTACGGAGCCAGACTGGAAGGGGTCTAATGCAGAGGTGTCATCCAAAAACCCCTGCAACTGAATCACCACCGCCCTCTCAATTAATTTGCCCAAATTGGGCAAGTTGGAAACTGGCCAGTAGTTAGTCAATTCATCCGGATCCAAGGATGGTTTTTTCAAGAGAGGGCATAGCACTGCCTCCTTGAGTGCTCCAGGACACAGCCCCTCAGAGAGGGACTTGTTGATAATTTCCCTTAAGGTACCTCATAGTCCATCATGGCCAGCTTTAATTAGCCATGATGGGCATGGCTGCTAGTGGTCGGATGAACAGTTGAGAGTAATTTGTCAACCTCTTCTAGGCTGAGTGGACTGAAATAATCCAAAACCTGACAAGAAGATGTGCATGGAGTCTTGAGTTCCCTTAGTGTCTCAACTGGTGGAGTGACAAGACTTTATCTGCGAAATAGCTCGCAAAAGCCTCACAGCCAATCTTCAGTTCATTAGCGTTTGGTCTGCCCTGTGGCAGAGTAGTAATAGACTAAATCATTCTAAATAATTGGGCTGGGCGGGAACTCGCAGATGCAATCGTGGCCTCCTAATATTCTCTTTTTGTGGCTTTGACTGCCATCTCATAGGATCTCATAAACATCCTATAGGATGCTCTTGTAGCTTCGTTGTGAACACGTTGCCACTGTCTCTCTAGCTATCTGAGCCTTTGCTTCATCAGCCATAGCTCCTGTGTATACCATGTAGCGAGCCTAGAGAGAGGGCACAGAGGACGTTGGGGAGTGATCTCATCGATGGCTGCTGAGATTCAGCTGTGCCAATCCTCCACAAGCTTGTCTGACAAGCTGCCAGGGGGCATCGGGTCCCGCAGGGCCATTTGAAGCCACATCGGGTCTATTTGGCTCCACGGGCAACCTAAAATCTGCTCACCGCCCAAACCGGGTCAGGGTGAAACATTCAGACGGGCTTTCAGGGCATGGTGGTCTGACCATGGCACTGCCGAGGCAGTGATCCATGGTCCACTGTGACCAGGGGTCATTTCGTAGAAAAAGAGCTAGGGGAACTCATTAGCATAACTCATTAGCATATGCCACACCCCCTGGCATCAGGGGCCCGGCGGTGGACCTGCAAGGCCAGCGGGAGTGCAAGGAAGCCCCGCGAAGGCCCTCCCTGGCCCCAGGCAGGCAGGGGTGGGGAGAGGCGGGGAGGAAGCAACTTACCCTCCCTCTTCTCCTGCCTCCTCCTGGCTGAATGAGGGCTGGAAGTGGGGCGGCCGGAAGCAGGGGGCGGGGCTTCATCATGTGACCCGCCCCCCTGCACCTCACCCGGGGGAACTGCGTTCCCCCCCGAAATGACCTCTGACTGTGACCCCTGCTGCAAAGATCAGATTGAGCGTGTGCCTGGCCCAGTGAGTGGGATTCGTTACATATTGGGAGAGTCCCAGTGTCACCATAGATGACACTAGGTCCATCACCTGACTGGAGGCTGCATTGTCAGTGTGGACACTGAAATCACCCAGGACAATCAGTCTAGGGTGTTCCAATGCCCAGCCAGACATGGTCTCCATCGGGGATGGCAGGCTATTGGCCGGTGTGTTGGGCAAATGGTACACCAGCCAAATAGCCAAACTCTCCCCAGCTTCCCACACCAGGCCAGCACACTCGATGCCTGTGATCTTTGGTGGCGGGAGTGCCCTGAAGGAGTAAGCCTCCCGAATGAACAAAGCCACTCCCCCCCCCAGTCTGCAATTGGTGAAGGACCGAGAACCTGGGAGGAGCCAGCTGGGAGAGAGCTACTGTCTCCCCATCTTGCACCCCAGGTCTCAGTCATGCATGCCAGGTCTACATTCTGCTCAAGCAGAAATTCCTGAAGGACCATGGTCTTATTGTTTATAGACCTGGTGTTGCGCAGCACCAATGTCGGAGGGGGGTTATTCGGCCTAGCCCCATTACCTGCAACCTTCGGGATGGGATGCAGGCTGAAAGGGGGCCGAGGTACTCTACTTCTCTGCCTCCTTCCCTTGCATTTGATTTGATTGACTATAATATCCAGTCACTGACTAGTGAATTTAATAAAGGTCAGTGTTAAATCTATCTAAGTAATTCGCAAACCCTACTTTAATTTCATAATTTAATCATAGACAGTGAATTGCCTCTCTGTTTATAGCTTGTGTGCTGTTCCCATGCGTCTTAGAAAAATTACCATTAGCCGGTGGCTCTCTAAAGTCCTTTGTGAAGTAGCCCCTTGCCCAGCCGCCCACCCCTTGAATGAAACACAATACAAGTTATGGGTTAAAGTGGGTATTTTATTTATACATAAGCTGATCTGCACCAACACATTAAAGCACGGGTTGACTTGGGTTTGCAAAGCAAGCCTCCTAACAGGGGAAACCCACCCCTACTCAGTGCCAGGTCCAGGATCCTTCCAGATCCTACTCGTCATGGCCTTTGCCTAGAGGGGAGGGAAGGGCACATTCCAGCCCATGGCTGCAAAGCCTTAAGACTTGTCATGTGCTCCTCCACCCCCAACTGAGTCACCCTGACTGCAAAGCCCATAGGCACCCAGTATGAGAACCCCCCATTGCTAATGTCTCAGGGTGCTTGCCAGTTCAACATCCCCTCAACCCATGCTTTTCCCACCACAGAAGGAGTTAGCCTTGGCTTAACTCTCCTCTTGCCCGAGGAAGATGATTCTCGACTGCTGGTGGTAGCTGGGTTGCATCAGCCCTGCCATTGGCACCCAACAGAAGCTGAGGCAAAATCAAGGGCCCTGCCTCCGACTGCCCCAGCCCACTCACAGATGAGAGCAGCGGGTGGGGGAGCCTGCCAGCTGCCCAGTGCCAGTATTGCCTGGCTGACCAATGAGCAGTGATGTGCCTGGGCAAGCACTCTCTCTGTTGGAGAGCATGCCGGGGGGGGGGAGCAGCCAGAAGGCCATGGCTTGGGGCAGCAGAAGGCCCCACAATACCCCGACCCACCTGGTGCCTCTCTGCACCCCTTCCCAGGCCAGAGTCCTCCAAACCTAGCCTGCTGGAGTAGGCTCATGCCGCCTTGTCCACTGGAAAAACACACAGGCAAACCCTGTGATATGAACACTATTAAGAAGATTTATATAACTTTTTAGATTTTATAAAATTACGAAAAGTTTTTTTCAGCATTCTCAGTTATACAATATTGTAAAAAAAAGTCCAACATAGTCCAACATAATGAGTACCCGGTTATTAACTCATTCCAACTTTACAGTCTTCCTCAGATGTAATCCTATATTGTAAGGAGGTGTCAGCTTCTTAATCCAGCTCAGTATTGTAATTTCCTTCATAATATCCTCACAAAAGGATCTACTAATCAAAGACTTTAAGTCCTTTTTAAACATTAAGCTTAATCTAAGCTTCTGATAGACTCTGGGCCCATAACCTAATGTGTTAAATGTAAAAAAAAAAATCATTTACCTTGGAAGCACAGAAGCTTCATGCAGTATCTCCAATCCTCCACATTTCCCGGTTAAGGGAAAAATGCTGTTCAAACAGTTTACAAGGATGATCTGACTCCAGTGGTAATAAGTGAAAGAAACTACTTACAAAAATAGGAGCATATCTTACATGCCATATTCATCTAGGTACATTTAATTTACTATTAAGAGATTAACTTCAAAAAGATTAACTTGCTACAGCTTCAGGCCCAGGTAAGAGAGAAAAGAAGAGAGGTCTATATAAGATGAAACAGAAAGCAAGCAACAGCCAAAGAGGCTCAACATCTAACTGATGAGAGGGTGGGGCCAACTGCCAAGTGTACCCTGTGAGAGACTTCTCTTTAATTCTTTCCCTCCCAAATCCTTTTGCATGCAGAGTTACAATATCCAACATTTTTATCATCCCATTTATGAAATATACTGAGCTAGTTTTCTGTAAGGTGATTGGGGTTCCAATGAATGAATGAATGAATGCATCTCCCTATTCTCCTATTTTCAGGTAAAAAGCATACAGGATGGCATACGAGACAAAAAGCAGTATTTTAATTTCCTTGGAGAAGACATTAAATTGGTTCCATCTGTTGGTATTTTCATTACCATGAATCCTGGCTATGCGGGTCGTACAGAACTGCCTGAGAATTTGAAAGCTCTTTTCAGGTAAGTTAGGAATGCTGTTTCTGACTGCAGAATGTGACATTTCTGACTGCAGAGGATCTTAGCATGTTAAAATGTTTGCCCCATTCATCCTGATAGTAGCCCTTGTCCATAGTGGTCATTGTTACTTCTGTTTTAGTGGTGGATAACTGAGACTGAAATATTGTAACTTGTCTGTTGTCCTTCATTAAGTGGATCTGGGAAGATGGATCTGGCACTACTCCATTGCCCAGTGCTGCAGACTGCAAGAAGCTACCAGAGCTGTATTCCTCTGTTTTACCTTGACAAGGGCAAGAGTTTGGCCCCATGCTTAATCTTTTGGTTTATGGACAAAGGTGTCTAGTCTTTGGCTGACCTGGAATATTCAAGCTACATGAAATATATAATATTGTATAGTTAGTGTATTTTAAACAAAAGCCAGTCTCTGCAGGCATGCAGGGATTTTTTCTGTGTATTTTGGATATTGTCTATTTCTTTGACTATGGTGATCTTCCTGAAGCTGGAAAAGAGCAGCTCTAATTCAGTTAGGAGAATGATTCAGAAAATCCCATGGAAGTCATGTTATTCAGGTTTGAATGTTTAATCTCAGTGAGACTGCAGAGCTGGTATAATGCATAGTATTGCAGATTAGTGGGCTTCTTGTCCTTCCTGAAGCCTTAGAACACTGTTGGAAATTGTCAGTCAGCTCTTCACTGCTGTCGTATCAGTGCTGCACTGTTCTTATTTATACTTTTGTTTTAAGGAGCAGAGATGTAGTTTCTCTTCTCTGAACTTTTCTTCTAGGCCATGCGCAATGGTTGTGCCAGACTTTGAGTTGATCTGTGAAATTATGTTGGTAGCAGAAGGATTCATAGAAGCCAGGTTGTTAGCTAGGAAGTTCATCACCCTTTACCAGTTATGCAAAGAGCTGCTGTCCAAACAGGTAAGTCATTTTTGGTCAGTTGCATAATATCAGATAACAGTGAACATTGTGGACAGTCCTGTGAATACCTCAAGTGATGCAGTCCCCATACCACTATATCCTTTGCTCAAAGAAATCTTAGGTTGCTAAGTGGGGATAGTTGTCCTTTTTGATAACTTTATTTCTCAACTAACCTGATACCTGTGCGTCACTACAGTCTTTAAGTTCTGTAAATCCAGTTATACTGATGATGTGAAGTTTGAAATGTAACATTTGTGGTAGGAATTCTAATGGAGATTATAGTGTAAAAAATGAAGTGAGACATACATACTTTTTTTTTCTCTACTGAAGGATCTCTCTTTAGACCACATCGGTGGTTCTGCCCTCGCGCTAGGATCACCAGGCTGCTTGGTGAGCTCACTGTGGAGCAGGCAACATAGAACTATCCATTTAAGAAGCAGTCATCTGTTAAGTCAACTCCTGCCACCTTCCATGAAAGTGATGGCCTCTGTACTTGTGTTCCTGGATTGTTTTGCTCATATGGAGACTGTGTTGTTCTGAGCACCTCAGGGTGATCTTGCTGGTACTTGGCCTGTACAGCTCAGAGCACTGCAGGAGTACTATGTTCAAATGTCTTTGCCACATTCCTAAGTTCCCTCCTCCTTGTAGCATTGGTGTATCTGGCTTGACGTTTGCCAGAAGCGTTCTTGGGGGCAGTAAAAAGTGAGAGGTGTGAGGGGGAGTTGGTGTGAGGGAGTGGTGATGTGGTGGACATTTCTTCAGGTTCATGAGGGAGGCACCCATTGAAATGGTTCCTAGAAATGTCCTTTACTATTTCCCCATGAACATTCATTAACTCAATTGCTATGCTGACTTTTTTTTGAAAAATATCTACTCAGGAGTCTTGAATCACTGATTTCTGTAACTGTCCTCAACTGTCTGCAGTCTCTTCTGTGTTTTTACCTCAGAACATTGAGGTCCACAGCTGAGCAATCAGAGGGAGGTGGGTGCAAGCAGGCTGGTTTTACCTCAAAACTCTGAGCTACACGGTTGACCAATGGGGGGGGGGAGGCAGCAGCCTGCGAGGCACATGGAAAACAATTGGGGAAACACATTTTACCCCTTTTTACCCCCTTAGGAGCTGTGTTTCTCAGAAATCTCTTTGTGGGGGGGTTGACATTATGGTAGGAATGTACTCCCCTTATTTTGGGTTTCTTGGTGCAGTGGTTTGGCCTGGCATTGAATTGGGAGGGCATACCCCCCCTTTTTTTTTTTTTACAAAATTGCCTCTTATTTATGTTACATTTAAGAAGTGGGACATAACTACGTATTCAAAACACCATCAGAGCAATCAGATATTAAGCAAGTTCATATGAACTAATTTTCTAGAACCCTCATTGTGAGAAGTAAAATAACCTAATAAAGGAAATCACTTTTCTACAAATTTGGGGTATATTTCCATAGTGGGTGGGAATGTGGCTAAAGCCATTGGTGAGGCTGGGCCAGCAGCATCACTAAGATGATCCTGCTGGGGTGGCGCCCCTGATGGATTAAAGTACCCTGGCCCTTCTCCTACACCTGACAAACACCTAAGGGGTGATTGTGTTTAAAGGCATCAGGGAGGCTGGGCCAGCAGCAGCCCTAAGGCAGTACTGCTGAGAAAACCTTCCCGACAGCTGGGCCAGCAGGATCACTAAGGCATTACTGCTGGGGCAGGCTCTCTGATGGCTTTAAGCACCCTTCACCAACTGCTGCACCTGACAGACAGCCGCCTGTTAGGTGTAGGAGGTGAGGGCGCATGTTTGAAGCCATGGAGAGGCTGGGCCAACAGCATTGCTGCACCTCCCAGGTGGTTGACCATTCCTGATTTCCTCAAGTGTCATTAGCTCTCTGCAGTCTCCTGTAACTGGTTTTTTTTACCTCAGAAAACTGAGCTCTGCAGCTGACCAATCAGAGAGTGGGGGGTGCAAGGAGGCAGCAGTCTGGCATCCACATAGGAAGCAATGCGGGGAGCACATTGTACCCCTTTTGACCCCCTTAGGAGTTGAATTTCTAAAAAAACCCCTTCTTAGTGAGCATCTTCATCATTAGGAGTTGTTAGAGAATGAACTGGATATTTGCTTTATGAACTATATTTATTGCTACACACAATGGACTGTGCACACACACATAGGCTCAAAGAACTGTACACTTTAAGTCACCTGTTGTTGTTTTTTTGGCCTCCTGGAGGGGATTTTTTTATTGCACTTTTATATAGACTACAAACTTCAACAGAAATAGGGAAGGAGACTACATTAAGGGATAAAGAAAAGATACCTACTACGATCTAAAAACCCAAGAGAGGAGATCATCTAGTTATTTTATTTATTTATTTTATTTATTTATATTTGAATTTATATCCCACCCTATCCCGAAGGCTCAGGGCGGCTTGGCACACGTTATCTCTCAATCACGCTAATCCCATTATGAACTGATTCAACTATAATATTATCTTTTTCATATCTTAACTATCACTGTTAACCTGAAAGCATCTAGTATATATAAAAAAAGTTTTTAAAAGGCACAATTCAGAGTCCTTCAGCCTTCATTTCCCCTTGCCCAGTCTCTTCCGCAGTTTATAAGGACTTTTAGGGGCGACTGCCCTTTTCTCTGATAGAGAGTCCTCTCCGGAAGACCCCGAGTCCAGCTTGCCGCTGGACTTACTGTCCATCCCTTCCTTTTCTTCCTCCTCTGGCTCTTCCATCTGGACTCTCAAAAATTTCCATGCTTTCTGAACAGAGTCAATCTTTTCCTTTTTATCCTTGATTTTGAAGATCACGCCTTCTGGTGTTAGCCATCTGTATCCGATTGCGTTTGTCTGGAGAAACAGAGTTAAATCTTCGTACTTCTTTCTCCTTTGTCTTATTTCAAATGGAATGTCTTTTAGGATTCTGATAGCATTATCTCCAACTTTCAAAGGAGCTCCAGATGCCGCTTTCAGGATTACATCCCTCACACGTCTCTCCGAGAATCTTATCACTATTTCCCCAGGCAGATTGTTTTTCTTTATATATCCTGAATATGACCTATAGGCCACATCCATATCACTCAGTAAAGATTCCACCTTCATCTCTGTCATTGGGGCCAATAATTCACTCATCTTCTCCTTCAGATTCTCTCATTTAGTCTCTGGAAGGCCCAGAAAATGAAGAATCAAATTAGCTTTTTCCATTTGTAGTTGTAACAGCTGATCTTCCATGGAGATTTGCTTCTTTTCCAGCTTTTGTACTTTCTTCTTCACCTTTTGTGCAGTGGCGTCCACTTTTTTCATCTTCTCAGCTGTTCGATTCATCATTTTAAGTGTCTCACTCAGCTGTGTTTGCTGGGTAATGATACACTGATTCATTGTTGACAGCTGCTGCTTGAGATTATTCATCTGGTCCAGCAGAGGGCGCATGGATTCCGCCAATGTCTTTGCCAGCTCGCTGGTTGCTTCCGGTCTTGGGCTCTCAGTCCCTTTCGCTTTTAAAAGTTTCTCTTTCTCCGTCCTCTTCCCCGCCATCTTTGTGGATTGTTTACTTTAACCGATATTTTAAAAGTCTCCGAATATGTGCCTGTACGCTTGAACTTGCCTTGGTAAGTCTTTCTTAACAGTTTTATTTGCTTTTTCTTCCGCTCCCCCCCTCCAATTCGCTTTTAAGTACGTGCGTTTGGGAGGCGTCCCTCCCCCGCTCGCCTCACTTTCTGTTCCGTGAGGGGTTTGTGGAGCCTTCTTTTCCTTTTATTTAAACGCTTAGATTGAACTCACGTTCATAATTGGTCCTCAGACCTCGTTTAAGCTCTGTTTCTTTCGCTTGACCTCCTGTGCTTGCCCCGGTCAGCGTCGCTTGATTCCATTCGGTCTCATAGCACGAAGAACCTTTGGGATGGAGAGGCGCCTCAATTCCCTGGCATCGTGCCGGCGAGGAGGCAACCTTGAGAGTCCCATGGCCAGATCCCCTTCAGCCAGGTCTCTGGGGGGGGGGTGACGATCCTGCACACCCCCTCCTTCGACCAGAGCGCAGCTTAACCCCTATGAGGTCTGGGAGGTGCGACTGCTCAGCGTGCTGCCATAAACCTGTTGTGATACAACACATAGAAGGTGCCTACACAAGCCTTACACGTGAATAAGGTTTCAGCTACACAGTTACCAGCCTGGTGAAAGAAGCACACACCTCCATTATTGTGAGCAATGAGAAACAACAGCTCTGAGCAGAGACAGCCCCCATTGCTGAACTGTTTTTGGTCACATACCACCCATCAACTGCTTTGTTCCTGCTTTGGTATTTCCTGCCAAATGGACATTTGGTTCACAATGAGAATGGCCAGCTTCATCAGCAATACAATGAAGTTTCCTGACGCCAAGGTTTTCACACCTGTCCAGATGCCATCCTTTGAGCAAGGTTTTAGGTTTCAGTATTGGCCACCCCTCTTAGGTAACCACCCCTCCCTCCATGCAACCAATAGGATTGTTTTTGGGACGGACTAACAGGTAGGTGGCCAAGAGGTTGGCACGGTTACTGCCCATCTCTTGAACCCACTAGAAAAGGAGAGAACCAGTCACCTGGCATCTCCCCTGCAACAACCCCTGTCTGCTTCTAACCCCTCTTAAGTCCCCCTTGCTATCCCCAACCCTTGCCTCTACTGCTGGTTCTGATTGTGTGTGAATTCCTTAGTTTTCTATTTCTTCCACTCTATTCTTCATTGGAACAACCAAGCTGCAAGACAGATAAGTATCACCCACCATCACCCCTACCTGCTAATGCAAAAGTGATTATTTCTTACTGTAAATCTTAGAAACTTGATTGAATGTGTGAGTGCATCAGTATTGTTTGTATGAGATATATTTTTAAGTAAAAGACATCTATTTTAACCACAACAGCCTCGAATCCTTTACTGGAAACCCTTGGTGGGAACAGGACCTTGGTATAAATTTGCAAGAACCCATTTATAAATGGCCAATTGCTGTAAATAAAGCAATTCGGCTAACAGAGTGCTCTCCCCAAATTTCATGTTTCTAGGTCCAGGGGTTTGGCCTGGGTGTTGATTTTATGGTGAGGATACTTTCTTTTATACATAGATGGATTACTTTCTTTGAGCAAAGGCATAGGGGAAAGGGAAGGGGGTCTGCATGAGAACCAGTGTTCTAGGAATTGGGGTCTTTTAATCCTCAGGATTTCTGGGTGAAACCCATTGAGATTTCACTCTTCTAGCTTCTCCCTTTCACTTCACTTGCTCTGAACTGAGTGCTTCCTGCCTTTGGAGACAGGGTTTTCAAGTTGTCCAGCAGCAAACTGAAGTGAGAATAATCTGAAGGTTAGTTTCTGCTGCTCAGACGGTATGTTGAGCTCTTCTCTTTCTTTGGACCTAGACAGCATTTTGTACTTCAGTATCTGGTTTTCAGTCTACGTACAAATAGGCTATTTTCATTCTTTTCCCCTTAGGATCACTATGACTGGGGGTTACGTGCAATTAAGTCAGTGCTAGTTGTTGCTGGTTCTCTCAAGCGAGGTGACCCGGACCGTCCTGAAGACCAGGTGTTAATGCGCTCTCTCCGAGACTTCAACATCCCAAAGATTGTGACAGATGACATGCCTGTGTTCATGGGTCTAATTGGGGACCTCTTTCCTGCTCTGGATGTCCCAAGAAAACGAGACCTCGGATTTGAATCTTTTGTGAAACAAGCTGTGCTGGAGCTTAAGCTGCAACCAGAGGACAATTTTGTGCTCAAAGTAAGGGTACAACTTGGTATTCATCCAGTGTTCAAAATGTAGTCAGGGTTCTGATGTTTACTTAAGTGTCTTGAGGTAATCTGTATGATACAAGGGATTTATCACTGCCTAAGGGAACGTGTGTTCCAGTGCATTCTCCAGTACAGGTCTTTTTGTGTTGTCTTTTGTTTTGTTCATCCCTCTCCCCTGTTTTCTCCTTAATATTGTTTCTAGGGGTGTGCAAAAAAACCCCTAAAAATAAATTCAGTCCAATTCGGATTCAGCCGAATCGAGCAGAATCAATTTCGGCTGGCAGAAAAACTCCCGCATGTCAGTTTCGGCAGTAGGAGCCCATTGGGGAGTCTTTAGGCCAGCCAAATGTCCATTTCGGCCCCATTATATCCCATGGGCCATTGAAGTCAATGGCAAAAACATAGGGTATATTCTGGGGGCTGGAGGGGAGAGGATTTGAGGGAGAGGCTCCAAACTCGCAGGGTAGCTGCTGGAGCCTCTCCTCTCCCCAAGATACCCACCAAGTTTCAAGAAAATTGGACCAGGGGGTCCAATTCTACGGGCCCCCAAACAGGTTGCCCCCCTCCCCTCCATTGTTCTCTATGGTGGGAAAAAAGTTACTTGGGGAGAGGAATGGGGCCGAATTCACACCACCCACCTGACCTTTCCAACCACTGTAACTTCAGTACTTTCCCCCAGTTATTGACATGACAGCGGTCAGAAGGAACTGGTGGGATGTCCGCACCCCTCCTCCTTGGGCATGCGTAGTGGGGTTCCCGCGCATGCCTGGGAGAGAGGCGCGAAAATCCCTTTGTGAGCTTTGCATACCACCAATTTGGATCAGCGCAGGCACATAATCCCATGGGTGTGACTGCACAGATGACCACTCGAAGATAATCAGTTACCGGTAAGCAACCTGTTAATCTCTTTCAGTTTATGTGAATAAGAGTTTACATGAATTTAAATACACTTTTACCCTCAGTCGGGTTAATGAAAGTTCAATAAAGACATCTCTCTATTCAGCTCAGTTATTTGCCCTGAGGTGTGTCAATTCATATTTCCTTTTATAAGGAACCATTTTATTTAATCAGGCATTGACAAGAGATTGTGCAGAACTGTTGTGGAATTTAAGATTTTAGCCTTTCATATTCCTTGTTGTATATTATTTGGAATTTATGTTATAAGTGTAGTATGTATGCTTAGTAAAAGAGGACATTAGGTGCCTGGCTTTGTCCATAATGTGGGATGCTCCTGCAGGTGGTACAACTTGAGGAACTCCTGGCTGTTCGGCACTCTGTTTTTGTGGTGGGCAATGCTGGCACGGGCAAGTCTCAGGTGCTGAAATCCCTGAACAAGACCTACCATATCATGAAGCGGAGGCCGGTTTGGACAGACCTCAACCCCAAAGCAGTCACCAATGACGAACTCTTCGGCATCATCAACCCTGCCACAAGAGAGTGGAAGGATGGTAAGAACACTTTCACATCTTTGGAAACCCAATAAAGAGAGGATTTTTAAAATTAAACTTTCCAACTGCCCAAAATATTTGCTTTGGGAGTTCATCTTAAGCATGAGGGTTTTCCCCCTCATCATGCTGGGAGCTTTTTTAGTGTTCTTTTGCACTTCTATGGCTTTTCTGATTTTTTAATGGCTTTCATGGAAAGTAATAACACTGGGGGCCTCTGGTGTGCTGTGCAATAGGGCTGCTATTATTTCTGCACACTTTTCTCATCTGCACTTTCATGTGGGCTTTTCCAGAGACACTTTTATCTTCTTAATTTTCTTGCATGTGTTAACTGCTTCTTCCCATCCCGCACTCCCAATCATTCAGCTTCTTCAAAAGACAAATGTCTTTACTTGGGAGATGCGTAATACCCTTCCAGGGCTAAAATGAGGTTTCTGAAATGTGACTGTGAGCAAATGTGGCCTCTGTGATTGGGGATAAGGGTGGGATGGCTACAGACTATTCCGTCAGTTCATGAGGTGAGAAGAAGGGAGTCTGCTTCAGTCTGCCACTTGACGCTGTATTTGTTGTCAGAGTATGTTGTCAGAGTATGTTGCCTGGTCACCTCTGTGGTTAATTTGGCTGATTATGTCCTGGCCGTGGCCTATTTGCTGCACAAAGGAGGGAACTCCACATTCAACAAATAAACAGTTGTCTTTATTTACTAGATCCAAGGGCAGAGCGGGAGAGGAGACAGGAAAACAAGATAACAGTCCTGTACTTAGTGCAAATAAAAGCCAAAATTACACAGCAGTTACCTCAAGCAACAGCTCAAGCCTTCAAATGAATTCCTCATACCAGGCTCCTGAAGAGGGACAAATTCCAAAAGTCTCTCAGCTCTCCTCCAATTTCTTGCTTTGCTTTGCTTTCTCTGTCTAACGGCTGATAGTAACCACACCAACTCTACGCCTTCTCTATCCACTCCATCTATTAAGCCATCTCAGCTGTTACTTTGTTGTTGTTCAGTCGCACAGTCGAGTCCGACTCTTCGCGACCCCATGGACAATCTCCCGCCAGGCTCTCCTGTCTTCCGCCGTCCTCCGAAGTTGGCTCAATTTCATGTTCGTTGCATCGCTGACACTGTCTAACCATCTAATCATCTGCAAAAGTAAAGGTTCAGGCTGACTCGAACCTTCTAAGGAGTTTACCCTCCACAGGGCCTAAGGAAAAGAGGGAATCATAAAAGGCTTGAACACTGTTGCCACAACCCAAAACCCGATACATATAACATTTAATCCTTTACAAGATTAGCTGTGGGATGTGGAGTTCTTTGGCCACACCTCATAATACAACCTAGTTTTGGCACCTTCCTTGCATTGTGAGATTTCTAAACATTAATATTCTAGCACCTAACTTTTTATGGTGCTGGAAACATACTGTGGGCCACTCACATGTTAACTATAGAAGTGGGTTTGTACTGTGGAATTGAAGCACACACACAACATTTAATGTGTGCCTGCTTGTACAGGAACCACATACACTGATCTTTATGTACATAAAGATGTACATAAGTCGGACCGGTCTGGGATTGGGGCTCCCACTCCCAGTCTTCGAAAGGGTGCCATTGGTGCCTCTGCGGGAGGCTAGGAGTCTGGGGGTGCTCCTGGACTCTACTAGGGCCAGGGCATTTTCGCTGGCGGCTCCTACCTGGTGGAATGAGCTCCCTGGAATTCCACCTACCTGGTGGAATGAGATCCGGGCCCTGCGGGACCTTATGCAATTTTGCAGGGCCTGCAAGACGAAGCTCTTCTGCCAGGCGTTCAAGTAGGACCCCCCGCCGCCACTATTCTGCCACCGAGGTGGCAAGTCATTGGCTGCCCTATAAGAACGGGGGCAAGCGGGCCCTGGCAGAAGTTTGAGACAGTGTAGTGGGAGACCACGCTACTGAGACAGCTGGCCACCAAACCTGGGGGGGGTTTTTGTCCCTATCTTGGATGATTAATATAGGTATAGCAGGTCCGGTCGATGGCGGCGTGCTTGCGGACCTATTTCCCGGACCTCCCGGGATAGGTCTGTGCTCCAGCTGGGGGAAGGGGCCACGCAGGATCGTGGACCCACCCAGGGCTCGGGGGAGAGAACAGGGGCCAGGGAACTTTAAGGAGGCGGCCTCTTCAAGGGCTGAATGCCCCAGAATCGAGGCGCTTCTTTGTTCCGGTGGATCCTCCGGCTGTGGAGCCGAACAGCACAAGCAACGCTGGCTGGGTCAAGCTAAGAAGATCCAGCATATTAAACGAGTAAAGAACGAGGTCGGAAGACCCGCAATGAACGTGAGTCATCTTCAGCGATTTTTTAACTAAAGAAGCTCCCCAAACCCCTAAAAAAGCTAAACGGAGGAGGCGAAGGGTGGGGGGGACGCCTCCCACGTGACGCCTATAAACGAACTTTAAAAAACGCGAAAGGGGGGGTGTGGAAGAAAAAGGCAGCGAGACCTGTCTAGAAGCACTTACCCGAGAGGCATACAACGTTCAGGTGCTTATTCAGAGACTTTTGTGTAATCCAGAAAAGTAAACAATTATATAAAATGGCGGGGAAGAAGGACAAGGACAGACTTCTTAAAACAAAGGGACCAGAGAGTCCTTGGACGGAAGTGGCCAGCGAGACAGCTAGAGCTGTAGCTGAATGCATGCACCCCCCTCTGCTGGAGCAGCTGAACACTTTCAAAGAACAGATGGTAAAGATGACAGAAGGCATCACTGCAACTCAAACGCAGATGGGAGAAATGATTCAAGTCATGAAACAGGATGCTGAAAAAATAAAGGAGGTGACAGCAACCACGAAAAAAGTTAAAAAGAAGGTGGAAAAGCTGGAAGAAAAGACATCATCCTTGGAAGACCAGATGCTGCAAGTACAAATGGATAAGGCCAACTTGGTTCTTCGCTTTCAGGGCATACCAGAAAAACAAGGAGAGAGCCTCAGAGAATTGATGTGTGAACTGTTAGCCCCAGTGGTAGAAATGAGTCCAGAGCTATTGCTAAACGAAATGGATGTGGTCTATAGATCATATTCTGGATATATAAAAAAGAATAATCTGCCAGGGGAAATTGTGGTAAAATTCTCTAAGAGGCATGTGAGGGATGCAATCCTGAAAGTGGTGTCTGGAACTCCCTTGAAAGTGGGAGAAAGTGCGGTTAGAACACTTAAAGACATTCCATTTGAAGTGAGGCAGCGTAGAAAGAAGTACAAGGAACTGGTGCTTTTTCTTCAGACCAACCAAATTGGATATAAATGGCTGTATCCGGAAGGAGTCACCTTCAAGATGAAAGATAAAAAGGAGAAGATTGATTCTGCCTTAAAATCAAAAGAATTTTTGAAGATTCAGCTG